CAATGATCTGTATAAGTACGTGGATTCATATTTTATTAGTACAATGATCTGTATAAGTATGTGGATTCATATTTTATTAGTACAGTGATCTGTATAAGTATGTGGATTCATATTTTATTAGTACAATGATCTATATAAGTATGTGGATTCATATTTTATCAGTACAATGATCTGTATCAGTATGTGGATTCATATTTTATTAGTACAATGATCTGTATCAGTATGTGGATTCATATTTTATCAGTACAATGATCTGTATAAATACGTGGATTCATATTTTATCAGTACAATGATCTGTATCAGTATGTGGATTCATATTTTATTAGTACAATGATCCGTATCAGTATGTGGATTCATATTTTATTAGTACAATGATCTGTATAAGTACGTGGATTCATATATTATTAGTACAATGATCTGTATAAGTACGTGGATTCATATTTTATTAGTACAATGATCTGTATAAGTACGTAGATTCATATTTTATCAGTACAATATCTGTATAAGTACGTGGATTTATATTTTATCAGTACAATGATCTGTATAAGTACATGGATTCATATTTTATTAGTACAATATCTGTATAAGTACGTAGATTCATATTTTATCAGTACAATATCTGTATAAGTACGTGGATTTATATTTTATCAGTACAATGATCTGTATAAGTACGTGGATTCATATTTTATTAGTACAATATCTGTATAAGTACGTAGATTCATATTTTATCAGTACAATATCTGTATAAGTACGTGGATTTATATTTTATCAGTACAATGATCTGTATAAGTACGTGGATTCATATTTTATCAGTACAATGATCCGTATCAGTATGTGGATTCATATTTTTGCTTTGAATAAACAAATATCATGATGATACTAATATATCTGACTATTCCTTATTTTATCCACCTTGTCGATTTGCTGTTCTTTTCTAACGACTGATAATAAAACAAATGGGATTCAATTCATCTGTCCAATACTTCAAAACTTGTTTTATTTAAATTTTTGGTATCATTCTTCCCACAGAATTGAATATCTCGTATAAACATGGGAAATGCTGATGTAACATACAGCACACGGCAACAACACGAGTGTGATACTGCTTTAAACAAAATTAACATCTTAACATGTTTTCTCTTGCTATTAACAACTGAAGTAAGTTTATAAAACTACAAATAGTTTTCACTCTTTGCATATGCAAATATTCTGAACTAAAGATTATAATTAAATTTAAAAAAATTAGAAGCATCAACATCTGTAATAATATGAATTGTACTTGAGTGGTAGTGGGTTCAGAACTCGTGTGCAATGAGTCAAACATGTTTTAAGATAAATTAGAACAGGCAATCATTCCAACCAATTATCGCATGGTTATCAAAGTCAATACACCTTACCCACAATACTTTTTTTTAAAGAAAGCAAAACTATATTTTCTCTTACGGTATCATTGTCTTTTTTCAATCCGTATTGTAATTCTCGAAATAGAAGTACAATTTTTAATTTAAAATGTTTTTTGGTTTTTTTCTTTTAGATACCAGTATAAAATTACACAAGGGCTATCCATGATAGTCACCCCCTAATCTTGAATTGATGGTCTAGATGGAATGCAGCCAGTCAATTCTTGGAATACTCTAAATCAAATTGAGGGGATTTGGCCATGACTCTTATTTCCATGGCCTCAAAGTGAAGAGCATAATAAAAAATAAAAAAAGAATTTGAGCAATGGGACACAAACCATGAACTCTCAGATACATGGTCCATAACCATCAGACCATACCAACATTCCTAAGTAACACTTTCCTTTCTTAAAAATACAACATATTTTTAATTCTCTCTTACAAACATAATTATTTAATGCAATGTAGTTATAAGGAAAAATTTCCCATTCTTCTTTACTACTGCTAAATAGCTCTTCCCAATTTCTTGCTTTTAATTAATGGCAACTGTTATTTCTTTTCAGTGATTACGAATGATTTACTACTAGCATAATCATACTCATAAAACAAAACATTAAAAAGTGAACTGGTCACTGAGTAGCAGTGCTTTTGGCTTTCTCTTTTTTATGGTAAAAAAATCCAAAAATTCTGATTCTTATGCTACATTTAATGGTACAACTTGTTTAAGAAAAGAAACTTACTATTTCTTTCTTTATGAAGATTAAATTAGAGCTTAATAAGCTGGCTTTACTTCTGGTCTAATGGACAACAATTTTCTGGATAATCTTTAAGACTACTATTTGGTCTATCACAAATTTATAAATAACTCCAAATTACAAAATTTCATATTTTTCTAATATCATATCTATTAATTTATACGTACCTAGGATCTCGCATCTCTGCATGTGTTCTATCAGGATAGGGGACGGCTTCTCTTTCTCGTTTATAACTTCCCGATGGTCCTTCTTCCCTAAAATAGCCTCGCTGTGTATCCCTACGAAACTCACTTGGATGTCTACAGAGAAAGACAATGCTTTACTATACGTGATTATTTTTCAATAGAATTGAAAAACTTAATACATTTAACAGATATAAAAAACATTACTGTTCTTTAACTGCTCAGTTACCATGTAGGCATTACAACAAGATTTGTAACCATTTCAATAACAGGCGATATGAAAAGAAACTTTATAGAAAAGTAGTTATGATATTTCAGGTTTTCTTAGTTACTTCTGTTATTGATAACACTCATGAAAAACAAGTTTGAACATTACAGTTTATAACAAAATGTCAAGTAAATGAGTAGAGTTTAATGCTTATCACAGCTGGGCAATTTAATTGATTAACTGGTTACTTATGAGCAGTGATTACATTAATTATTGTCACATAAACTAATCAATTAATCAAAATTTTGATTTATATAGATAGCAACAAAAATAATCAACTAATAAAAATTAATGTTTCTGACAGAATTCTTCATATTTTGGATTATTCCACCTATCCAAATAATCAAAATTTTCAACCAACCTTGCTTGCCCTGTCTTTGTTATAGAAAAGCTGTTGAGACTATCTGCTACTGTCACTACTATTGATTAGTGACAGTAGCAGATCAGAGAGAAGGCAACTGGCCGACTGGTAGTTGGTAAGGTGTTGCTAACTGGCTGCATTCTCTCTCTAGTCAGCAGTTCAAAAACTAAAATAAAACATTGGTGTCAGGTACTGCCAGAGAGTTGTCTTCCCTCAAGTTAGCAATTCAACAACAATAAATAAAGAAAAAATTGGTGACATTTGTATAACACAAACTATTTCCAATATTTTAAGCTTTAGGTATGTTATATGAGTGATAGTCAGTCTCTTAGTATTGATCCCATGGAATAAAACCTAGTTCATCAGCTCTGAAATCTAGAGCTCTACCATCGGGTAAACCCATGCCCTACTCATGCCACGTATGAATAAGTACATAGTGATAAATATAAAGTTAATATGCTATTTTCCTATTTTTGCAATATATAAACTATAACCTATACTGTGGAAGCAACAGGAAGCAAGGAGGAGTTTTATACTTAGGAGAAAAAAAGATGTGTTATTTTAGCTTTATGTACTAGTAAAAATGGTTTATTGTATTTTTTTAGTAAGATTTATTTCAGCCAGTAAATAAATCAAATCACTGGAGTTTACTGGATTGATCTTTATCAAGTTGTTGGTGAATAAATCAGAAGTACCTATCCCAGCTAGATGACGGATTATTGTGCGGCCATCGTTCATGGGAGTCCCAGTGTTTCCTTGGAGGAGGCCCTGAATAACTGTTTGTTTGACCTTTTCTCTGGTAGCTGTTGCCCTTCATAACTGAATATGATGACATTTTGTCTCGCTGATATGATGGATTTTGTCTAAACATTGTATAAAGGTTATATTCAGTAACGCTGGATCTTATACAACACCGTACATTACATAAATGAAAACTATCAAGGGAAAGAAACTGCATAAAACCATCTAGTAAAATTATATATTTATTCAACTTATCATAATTATAACATTTAACTGTTCTTATCAGATGATTTAATAAGTAACTTTCTTTTCTAATAGACAGAAAAATGTACAAGTATTTTGCATAAGCAGGATTGCAGAGAGAGTAGTTCACAATAATTAAATCAGACTTTTTTTTGCATTACAAAAACATAACAAGAATAATTTAACATTATGGTCTTTCAAAACTTGAGTTTCTAGTGATGGGAAAAAAAAAGCTAATTAGAATAAGATGGGTGTTTACGTTTAAGATGTTATATTTTTATTTCCAGGTTACGTTTAAAAGGAACTGAAAGAAAAGTTGGTAGGAAGTAGTTATCCCTTTAACCCTATGTTCTATGTTTTAAGAAAAATATGTTTATGAATTTATTTCAAAATAGCAATAATCTAAATACATATATAATGTATAATAATTGAAATGTGACTGTATTTTACAAAATACTAGTCTACTAAAATACAGCCAAGACAAGTTACTTTGCACAGACCAAAGGTCAGTTTTATGTTATTGGATATGGTAACACGAGTGCATCATTGTAACTTCTGTATTGTTAGCCAGGCACATCTGGTAGGTCAATATAATAAAAATAATAGATATATATATAAATGTATAATGTTATGAGATTTAAGCTATCTTGTCTAAACATTTACCTTTTCATGTTATAATTTGTGTTCATTCTATAATGGAAGAGGCATAATTTG